TTGGGGTGGGTGGCGGGGACATTGTTAAGAAGATATAGAATAGGACGCCACTATAGAATAGGACACGATTCACAACACTCAACGGGTTGCAGAAAGGATATCTACGCCGTGTACTCAACCACAAGTGTACCCACCAGATTATGATGACATTCGTCCAAAATCTAAACACGGTCATGTAACACTAAATGGAATTAAATGGAATTTTAAAATAATTTTCACTTGGGAAAGGATAAATGGAGAAAATGTATTCCCCAGTGCATCAAGCACCGATGAATGTGTGAAAGGCAACTAAGGGTATGGAAATATCCCAAGATGGATAAAGTACTAATGCTAAGGAAACCTGGTCAAGTACCCAAATGGAAGCATTGTAAGCGCGTGCGCGATTCTATCCAGGTCGAGGTTGGGGCATCATCCTCCCAATGTGAAAGGCGCTATACAATGTAATGTTGTTGTTGTTGTGTGTGGGGAAGTGTGGGGGGGGGGGGGGGGGGGGGGTTTGCTGGCATGGATGGCTCTATCACAAAACAACAGCAAAATGACATTTATATAGCGCCTTTAACGCCAAAAGAACGCCCCAAGGCGATGGGCAGTTAAGGACAAAACTATTTACATGTATAATGGTAACTGTAAATGAAGTCCAGTTGAAAAGTGAAATGTTGTCTAAAGTGATATGAATTTGGCATGGCAATATTTCATAATGCAATGTTGTCTGCAATTAGAAGTATTGCTTCAAGTCAATGTTTGACAGATAGACAAAATGGACTGATGTCCTCTTATCGCTAAGACAATATGAGTTTTACAAACTGTTGGAACTTTTATTTTGATTTGCTTGGTTCGCAGCTGAGATTTCCCATTGTTTCCCTAAGTACTGGATCCTACCGGAATCACAGTCTTGTGTCGCATTGTCGTGCCGCGAAAGAACTGGAAAATGTCTACATGTCTCATAAAACATGAAGGTAGGTTTTAAATCCGTCATTTTTCATTTTATTTTTGCAATTACAAAACAAATCCCCAGGATGGTTCAGCACGCCTTACATTAAACATGTTGTATCCCAGAGATGGTTACGTTGAAATACCAGTGTGTTCTAAATTAGAAAGGTGTTACTTTCATCCCAGCAAATCATTATAGCTTTGAACAGCTATGGTGAAATGTTCACATGTTTAGTAAATGCCAGATGTTGTTGGCAAATCCAGGGACTCCAATCACCCAGTGTGCCCTTTCACCAGGAAGCCTCGCCCCCTAGAGCATGTTTACAGTTTTTACTACTGACAAACTTTTAGTAGTAGTTAACTACCAACACGGAATCAGATCTAATAAAGACACAAATAGAGAGGAAACGCAGTCACAAATAAACACGGAATGTGTCCATCCGGTAATTCAATCGTTTTTATGTGAATCAGAAATTGAAACTCCATTCACAGAACGAGAACAAGACGTCCGTCCACTCTGACAGCCTAATCACTGCAATATTAAAAACTTTCCAAACGTATTAACGCCAACACGTGTTTGAAAAAATGAGAGTGCTAAAAATAAACATTATCGACCTTTCCTATTCATTTGTCAACATTGCCCATGTAGATTACAAAATAAAGATTACATTTATGAGATATTTTATAATTTTGTACTTATACTGAATTTGTTTTGTAAATGAGCTCTACTTTGCGCGTAAGACACTTTTTAGTGGTATGATCCGACCGAAAAACATTAGTGCTAAACGCAATCTTTTGAACATTGATTGATCTGTGATAAAAGTTTACTGAGTTGCTCTCGACTTATGCACTCTACTCGAATTTTTAGATGGAATGTGTTGCAATGTTGCAAATACTAATTAAATATTTTTTATCGAATTTAAGAATGGAAGGATTTGAAATCCTCCGGGCAAAAAAAAGTTACACATATACATTTATATATAAATATGGAAATACCAACTAACCTTTTTTCGCCTGTGAACTTTAATTGCATAAAATATCTGCATACAAAACAGCATCAAGGCAACAGACTAGCGGTTGGATACAGTTATTACAGAACTAATGTCCGTTCCATCTAGTAAACAACTTGGAGTCATCCTTATTGTGAACTGAATAAATAAACACGCACAGTTCTGTCGATCACTTTTTCACTCATCTTTCTATTGAAACAGAAAATGTTCTTTAAATGTGATGGGGACAATTTGCATTAATGCACTTACACAGATTGTTTTAACTAGAGAGAACATAACCACTTTGTTGCAATTACTTTGTTCCTTCCTACTATCATTAATCATAATCTCCACACAGCTTTGAGTTGACAGTTTGCTCTTATCCATCCTTGTATCTAAAGACGCTATTTCTGTGTTTCAGTTGTATTTTTGTGTTTTGGGTAAGACTAGCTCTGTTTTGCCAAGGACAAAATGCTCTTAAAAGACAGTTGCATTACTTGGTTGGGACAAAGCTCCAATACTGATAATGGTTTGCACTTCTGAAGAAAGTTAATCGTAAGAGGAAAGATAACTGAAAGAACGTAATAACAGTAATAACTCGCAGCTGTTGGTTTGCTGTTACGTTTTAGTGTTAGCTAGATTGAGTTACAAATCACTGTTTCTTTGAAGAGAAATGAAAAACATATTTTAGGGTTGAAGAGACACATTTTAGATAGTCTCTCTTCGTGTTGGAGCAATCCAGAGTTTGAGGGCATCGTGATGAATATACTTATTCTGATCGCTCTTTCGTAGGTTTAATTTAATCGACATTTTTTTTCTATCCAAAAGAACATTTTTATGGCCACATTCCTATTTTCCTACTTCTGATCATTTTAAAAGAAATATTCATCTGTTGTCTATAAACACCATGCTTATACGTATTTAAATTACAGATTATTACAATTATTGCCTTCTTATAACTGCAGCTAACAAGTGCAGAATATGGGGACATCTAGTGCATTCGATTATTTTAAAAATTAAGATATATCTTGAAAACGCTTACAATATTTCCAGCTCATATGACTGTCAGCCAGAAACTTGTACGTTGCTCGCTTAAAATTCAAGCGAAGTAGACTGCTGACACCATCATATCTGTTAAAACAGAGCCTATGGAGTGAAAATGGATCCGCTGTCTCTTTATATTCACCTGGTTATGTGACAGCTGAGAACATGCAGTTCCTGTCCCTCGTGCCTGTGNTTTTTTTAAAAACTGCTGATGGAGATTAGAGCAGGCTGATCACTCAGACGTGGAAAAAAATAGAAAGCTGGGCTGTGCACGGTTCACAGATCTTGCATTGAGATAGCAAGGTGCAGGGAATGTCAACATAACCACAACACATCAGCATAGGTTACCGCACACAGCCACCAGCCACCAATACACAGCAGCGGGGCAGGAGAGCAAACCCAACGCAAACCCACTCGCCAGAGAACAACAGGGAATAACAGGGAACAGAAGGATTCAAACTGAAACCCGGGACCCAAATGGGAAGGGAGAGTAAGTTCAAACACAGGGTGCAACAACAAAAACCGAGCAGTGGTAACATCTCATCACAGTGGGGACAGCGTTCGCCCACAAAACACACAGTCGCTGCATTTTACAGTATATCCCACGAAGCGCTTTCCGACGTCCTCCCAACGTGAAAGGCGCTACACCAAACGTTAATGCACACGCATTCACAATTCACAATCAAGAGAATAGAATAGAGTTACAAAACGATTAACCAGGTTCATAAAATAGTCCTAACAACCGTCAGCACGCTGAAACAAATAAACAACTCCAATTAATAAGCAAATAAGATATATCCCAATCTCAGAATACAGTAGAGTGCAACAACAAACAAACGCAACCGCGGTGTATGTAAAACTACTTGAACCAAGCATTTTGAAGAATTATTACGTCTGTGGATTATGGATGTAGGAAATTGATTCTGGAACAAATTAATAGCATGTTTGGAAAAACGCCACCAATCGAGGCCTTTTCTCTAGAAGGACCAAGATTCTCACATCCTGTGCACTTGTAATATCAAGTTTAAATATCACATATCTGCCATTATCTACAAATAATATCCATACAGAATACTTGGCCGTTTGTTCCTAATATTATGTACTACTTCTACTGCATTGGATTTCATTTGAATGATGCAATCATTTCCAATATTTAAAGACAAAGGCCTTACTGCTCTGTACCATGATGGCATGTCTAACAAGATTATCGTTATACATGGGTTTCTCTAAGTTTCCCAACATGTCTGTGTGCATTACGGTGTTGAAATCATTTGAAACATTTCGAACGCTATAGCATATGTAAATTCAGTGTGGTGTCTTTTTGTAAGCTACACGTTTTGCCAATTTGAAGCCAGTTTAGCAAAATTGGGAGTTTTAAATGCACTAAATCTAAAATAAGAAATATCAAATCACCCTAGAAATTACAATAATTACCTATTACTAAACGAAGTTAGAGAGGCTAATTATTGCACTTTTTATACTATTGTGAAAGTTTCGAATAATTTGCAATAATAACCATCTCCATTTATAGTTTTAATGAATGTTGAAGTTTGTTTCATTTCCTTCATTTTCAAACTATGCCCGTGGTGCATATATCCATATATTATAACGTGTTGTGCTCCATTGCCCTAAAGAAATAATGTAGTTTTCTATGCGTCACCCCTAAATTACGCCCCAAATTTCCCAATTCAGACTGACGGAACGTCATTTTGGATTATAACTATACTAAAACGGACCGGTTGAAATCTAACAACAGAAAGCGTCATAAAATTATATGTAAACGGAGAATTATAATATTTTAGTCTGTTACAGCATTTGAATGAATGCTTAGAAAGTACCAAATAGTCATACTACTGAATTACACGTGGGAGATTAAGACAATAGTTGGATTCATATTTAGTAGACATTTAGAACATGAAGTTACAAATAAAGTAATTCTATTATAGTAGCTGTTCACATTACTGTTTGACTGGGAAAATCTCATATGGACTGATCAATTCAACCGCTTATTTTAATGCAATTTTCCCCATTCCATACCCTTTTTAATGACAGACTGGTCCAATAAGCTCATGCCACTGGTATTCGTTTCATCCATAGCCTGTTAATACATAAAAAACACCAGTTAGGGTCATATCACTATTCAAATTGACTTGATATTAAAAAGGCATGTATATAAATCAAGTCGAACGGAACTCGACTATCTGTTATTTACATTTATATTACCTGGTTGAGGTTTATTATTCTAGGAAAATTATCAAAGGAAATCAAATTCTCCAGAATTATATATCATCAGAAAATAATCTGCCCAACATCTGGGGCTCACTCGCGTTCTTTTATTATCAAGCAGAGCACATAGCGTACACTAGTAGAGAAATAGACAAATATGTGTTTGATTCAGCAGCAAAATTGTTACAAGCAATTTAAATATAGCTCATTGTGGCACTGTATTTATGTCTGTACACAAGTAACTCTGGATACCTATATATGAGGTGCATAATTATATATGTATATTACAATGTGTACATGATGTGATGTATACATGCATATTGTGAAATACATGCACGTGTCAGACAGAAACAGTGACATAGTTTGCGTTTGTGTGCATTATGAAATTAAGACTGTCATCGTTTCTTTGGAAGCGACAAGAAAAAAAGGTGCATAAAAATACTGTTCTATATCTAGGCAGATATTTTATTAAAATTGTGTAAGGAAAGCAATACTGCTGAACTTGGCAAATAAGGAACCCTATCTGGATCCTGTTGAAAAAGACGTAGTTGATTGCTTCGAATTAGTGTTGAGCTACCTCCCCACGCCTACCAGTATTTAGAAAGGTATTTCACGCTATATTAACTCTCTTGGAACAAGACGGAGGAGAATCTGACAAAACCTTTAATTAAACAGTGGTCACGCAATTGCTAAAGGTTATGTGCCATCTTGTTCCCTGTGATATTCCAACCCCCACATTGAACCGGTTTAATACATAGATTATTTCCAAAAAAAAGATTGATTATATTTTAATGTACTCATTTATTTATAGCCTCGCGGATTTATCCAAACAACACTAGTAATATCCAGCCCTCCGAGTACTAACGTATTTTATGTAATTCAAACTAAGTATTTGTATTAAAAGGATTGGTTTATCCATCATCACATGCAGGTTTATAGTGGTATATCTGACTTACAGCAGTGTAATAACAAACCACAGTAAGTAGACTGTGGACATTACATGTCTTTTATATGCACTTATAATAAAGTTAAAATATAACTTTACTGTATTTTATTTTATTATTTTTGCTATTTGCTCTAAACGCTCGGAAAACCCACCAAAACTGAAAACAAACAAAAGGAAATCTTAGAACTTTATATTATTAGGAGCTGCTTCCTGACCGATTTTAGACATTTTAAGGAAATACTAAATAGCCATTTTAGCAGCCCTTCAATTTCCATATTAAAAAGTCCTGCCTAATCTATCAGTGTGTGTGTGTGTGTGGGGGGGGGGGGGGAGGGGGGGGAGGGATATGAAAGCCCAGTCACCAGTTCCCAGGATCCATTTGTTTCCATCACTGTTTTGTTAAGTACCCGATTCCTCAGAACCAGTTTGCATTATTATAATCCGTACAGTATTCCATTTAGCCATTATTTTTTTTTCTGTGGCGTATAAATGAAAACCGTACAATCGAGCAGTTTCTTAGAGAAACAAATGAGGGGAGGAATGAACTTTGAGAGAGAGAGAGAGAGTCGCTGTCCATGTGCCTTCGAGCACGTGCTGTTGCCTTTGATAGAAATTAGGCAACGAGATGACAGCTCACAGCGTGAGAATAGGCGGTCAATGTAAAGCGGTCCTGATTTCCTGGAATTATTTTAGATTTTTTTTGTTGGATTGAAATTAAGTATTGATCAAGTGCCTATGAGCTCTCTATCCCCCAGCGTTGCTATTATTCGCGTGTTATGGGGGAAAAAATGGTTAATAGTGTTGCTTATATAAAGCATGTTTGAAATATACTACATGCATCGTCTGCATTCAATAAATAATTTCTGAGTATATTGTTTTCCTATTTTATCCAATAATTTCGGGAAAAAAGGTATGTTATTGCGACGAGCCTTAGAGCAAGCCGCTTCAACAGAACGTTAAAACGAAGTTTATGCAGCTAATGAGAAAGGTCTACTTTGATTTTCTATCTAATTATCACCGCCTGCTGGGTTTTTGTAGAGGATATTCACGCAGCATGTTGGCAGTTAATAGTCACAGAGAGTATCATAAAGATTTAATTAGAAATGCATGCGGAAATGAGGGAAAAACAACTCACACTTTTAATTACCAGACTCTTTGCTTTAAAGGGATGTGAACAGCAGGATTTGAACAAATTGCGAAAGGAAACGCGTGCACGTTTACAAACAATTTACTGCACACATCTTTCTGCATTTCACCTAATTTTTATGGTTGCTTCTCTTCACACCCTGTGCACCCTATGCCAGCAGTTTCGTGTCTCCTACACTTTGAATTAACTTGCCCTCAAATTATAGTTGTTGTTGAATTCCTCAAAACCGATGCGTCCCTGGTCTAGCAATCTACTTGTCAATTTCAATGGTTTATTGTCGAGACAGTGGTGGGTTTAGAAGCGAATCCACCAGTAAACAGAATGGGGGGTGGGTATGAGGGGGAAGAAAATGTCTGCATTCATTAATTACTTACAATGATTTATACGGGCGACAGAGTTACAGTTCTTAGTCCGACACATTTCGGCAGACGTTTATAAATGATCAGATAAGAAACACAGCAACTTTTGTGTTTTATTTGCATCACTTGCTTGTAAATCTGGAGTGTATTCGCCGTGGTGCAGGAAGGTTGTGGATTTCATGTATGCAATGGTTGAGTGATTAGCGATGTCCACTGAACAGAAGCTTCCCAAACCATAGTGAATACAGATAGGTTTCGCTCATTGTAACCCAAAACAAGATTTTATAGCACAAATTATATATGCCACAATTAAAGAGTCACATTTAGCTGTTGGGCCGTGTTTGATTTCCTACCAGAGAGAATGACGTTAATTTTATATTTGTGGATCAATTTACGTTTAGATATTTAAAATATGCCTATCATGATGTCGGCAGACTTTGGCAGGATAGTGTATCCCAATACGTCCCAATAAGACTCATGGTATGTGGAAGAAAGTGTAGCTAAGAAGTTATCCACCTTGGCAGAAAATGGCCCTGTATATAGCACTGTTTTATTACATATAATAAACGAAAATCCAATATACTGAAAACGCCACGTGAATATTCCTGGCTCTTCTATATTTAACTCAAATATGAAGAACTTAAACAATAAACAGTCGCGAAAAATTGGCTTTGACCTCATAATACCTGTAATTTATTTTCATGTTAAATTCATATTAACCTTCTTGTGAGTTAAAAACTATATTTTTTGGTATTTTTTGTATAGATTTTATTCAATTGATCATTGTTAAGAGTATCCAGCTTTTTCAAAAAAAATTTGATCTTAAGGGGAAAAGGAAGATTATCACACACAGTCTGCTAAATTACATTGGTCTTGATCTTAAAGAGGGAAATTCATCTTGTTAGAGAAAATGGCAAATGGACCAAATAAAGATCAATCACTTTACTGTTTTTTTCTTTCTCGTGGGGAACAATCCACTCACCGAATTATGATTCATTCTGACATGCTTTAGTGTTGTTTTCATTTTCAATTACTCGCACACTTTGAAGTTTAAAGGTAGTGAGAGCACAAGTCTTGGTGTAGAATTGCTTTAATTGAAGGCAACTCTTTACATACTTTTTTCTATTTTTTGGAAAAAAATAAATTGGAGTTTTGCATTTCAAATTGGATTGGTCCTCTTTAGCGCTTATATGAAACAATGACTGATGTTTTCTATCAGAGTACACAGGTTAGAGGACCATTAGTGTGTAAACCTGTCCGACCAGATTTTGTCAATTTTGGGCCAGTTTAGCAAAATTGGTCATCTCACGAGTAACTGATTCGGGTAAGAAACCAAACTTTCAATGACAATTAACTTAGCTGAGGTAAAAGAGTAAAAAAACAAATCAGGATGCCATTTACAAATTGTGTTCGGATGTCGCCTTAATGTATTGGGTACCAATAAAGGCTACTGCAACATTATAGTGTTTTGTTTAATCCAGCTAAATCCCTCAAACATCATTACTTGGTGCATTGTGCCAGAGATCGTTTTGCATCTTTTATTCGCTATATGCCCCCTCCCCAAAAGAAATAACAAGTGTTTATTACCATCATTGGCTAGCTAAACAATTCAACAATAACCAAAAAGGAAAGCAAAATGAGGTTTAAAATTGTGTTATAAGTTGCTTGTAATTATCAATACTGTTATTTAACTGGTAAACGTCGTGAGCGTTGGATTTTGATGGAAAAGCATAATACACTATACATTGAATTGTTTGGTGGTGAGACTTTTTTTATCTAGGTTTAGGATGAAAAAGAAAAAGAAAAAAAAAGTATTAGAGACTTAACTATTTATGGAAAGCCCCCAAGCTATCATTAAACTGTGGCGTTTTTGCATTTTTAAAAGGATAAGGTTGGTTACAATAGTCAGTCATTTTATGGGTTTTCCTAATTGCACTTTCCAACCACAATTTCTTTATTTTTTTAAAAAAATGAAATAGCGAATTTAAAATAATGAAAGAAAAGGCTTTATTTAAATGTATTGTGCAGTTTAAATATTCACCTCTCCAATTCCAATACGTCAGGCGAAAAATACACAACAGTATATTTGATGCCATCGATTACGTTAGGTTGAAATGTGTTAATAATTATTCTCTCACTATGTTCCTAAGCGTTCAATGTGACTTTCGCATTGACAATATATTTTTAAATAACATCAGCACCGTTTTACGACGTACCACCAAATTATGTTGAAAACAAAATCTTGCCTGAATGTGAATTGAAAAGTAAATGAATAGATTAGCCGTGCGATTAAGATGGTGAGCTTTTACGCCAAAATAAACATAATTTAAGAAATCTCATTTTGCACAAAATGATTACAGATGCTTTGCTTTTAATTTGTCGGAAGAAAAAAAATAGCAGAAAGATAAAAGCAAAACGTGACGAGGGTGCAGTGAATTGAGTAAACATTCATTAATATTCTAGCTATCGCGGATTTTTCTTATTTTATAAGTAGTTACGTATGCAAAGAAGATAGTGAAACCTACGCTTAAATAATGCAACTCAAACTTTCCCTTTGGACTGGCATTCCTGGCGATATCAACCTCAGCTTTGTGGTGTCCTTCAGCTGCACAATCCTGACATGCTCCAATTTGCTTCCAAAATGACCAGAGTCGTTTATTTTCTGAAGGGATCTGAGTAACAGTAAATATTGAGTGCAATGTGAAAAACAGCACATTTTCATAGACTCTGTCTTATATTTATTTTAGCAATATTGTATACAGTAATTAAAGGTTTCTCAAAAAATTTGACCGTCAAAATAATTGAGAATTTACTAATTTTGTAGAGGTGGTTGACCCTCTTAATAAGAGCACGATGCTTGAAGTCTTGAGTTAATTTTGATAACATTTGTCTGTTTGCCATTTTTTTTACCTATTTAGCTCATGACTAATTATATACAAACTGAAAATATCCCCAGAAAAATATCTATGCGATATTCGGTTGCACTGACTTTTACCTTCGATTTTGGGGTATTCCTAATCTGGTAGATCATATTAAGATTTAAATTAGACTCGTGTATTTCAGAGTACATATTTCAAGATCGCACGGAAATGATTTTAAAAACAGAATTGATTGAAGCGTTTGTGCTGTGATGATAAATTTCTGGTTAAGATATATTTCAGATCTATTCTGTCCTTTAGAACAAGCGTTTAATTCGACCGAACATATCAAATCTGAAATACTATTGTATCCACACCGGCTACATTGCATGGACCAATGCTGTAGTAATAAATGCAATTCTACTGCAAATGAATGCTGAGGGGACGAATCGACTATGGCACTACGGTAAATTATATTACTGATGCTGTGAAGTTCAGTGCTTATACAGCAAAATACCACCTCCGATTCGAAAACAATCACATTAAAATGTTGATGACAGATATGTGTACATGTATCATTGTGGCATTATCCATGATTACATTTACGGGTGACGCTGTTAGTCCCGCAGTGAAACGCAAAGCGGTATTAAATATAGAAAGCTGCTGAGACGTTAATATAGTCGCATGCTGCATGCATAATTCTAAATTTACAAAAAAATACAGTTATGACAAATTATGTGCACTTATTATATAATAGTCAATGAATAAATGCATGGTTAAATGGTAGTAGTTCAGTGGTTAAAACATAAAGCTACAAGCGTACTCGGATTTATAAAGTCCCCTGCTGCACGCGAACTCAGAGAGGCAAACAATAAATGTCATGGAAAAGACAGCAGTACAATAACTGATCTTCATAGACCGTGGTTTGAAACCATCAATAAATCTACATCAGCGCCTCATTCGTCCAGACAGTAGCAGCTAGCAACTGAATGAGCTTGGGAAGGACAGATGTCCAAAACGACCTGAAATTTGTCCCCTGTGCACATTTGGAAGTGATAATATTCTTTTGCATAAATCAGCATGGCACTTAGCATACTTCACCCTTCTAGCTGCTCCATATTATTAAAATGATTCAAAACGTACACTGATCTTTGTGAAAAACGATTGCAGTCAAAATCACTTTTTTTGAAACGAAAATAAACAGCGTTTTTTTTTGTGTGTGTTCCAAAAGTTACATCTATTGTCAGTGGAACAACTCTATTTTCCATAAAAACGGAAAATATTTGGCAAAGTTTCATGAAAATAGAATCCACTAATACCCACGGCACTTTATTAAAGTGCGTTTGAAAAGGCAAGGCACATGCTGCATATATACACCAAACAAATCCAAAGCCAAATTTTCCAAAGGATTCGAGCTTTGGTAAGGATCTCTAAACTTTTATCGCCACTATTGTGTAATGTTCTGATGTAAGTGGCTTTTCAGTTAACATGGACGTCAGGTAATCGAAAAGGTGAGAGCACTTTCACCAGCCCTACTGTGGATTAACACAACAAATGTGCGCAATGTGCTTTTAGTTTCTAACTTGTCAAAATATTTTAAGGTGCCTCAAATATATATTAGTTCAACAGAATCTAAGCGGCCATTTTTATCCATTGGCAACTACTTTTCGATCATTTTATGAGGTGTATTTTATTGTAACTTTAGAATATATTTCAGCCCCAAATATCTACAGTGTCACACTCCAAACCAGTTAAGTTATTAAAGAGTATGATAACCTTTAAATTATTAGTAACTTCCCACACATGCACACACGGTATATATATACAAGGTCAGTCTCTTTGGTGTATGTACAACACATTATAAAAGAATGTATCACGTGGCCCTTTTCATGTGCAGAATAGGACAACTGGTATCAGGGTCTTTCAAAACATAGCTTTTTCAGGTAATTCAGGTTTTAAATGACTCCACATTCCCCCTAATAAATCTCTCTCATGCACGCAGATTCACAACTGAACTCAAATTGTGTTTAATCAAAATTGCAAAATAAAGACAATTTCCTGTAACAGCCAGTCAGACTATTATAATCACAATTGCCAACGAAATATTGGTGTCCCTGATAAACAGGAGGCAGTTTCTACTGGGTGTTATTCCTCTTCAGTGAACGCCCCTCCCTCTCACACCTCCCATTATAATGTACGTTTATATCAACTTTGCAATCATCTCGTTCCACGTAGTCTCCATAAAGCTGCATCTGCTTCTATCTGACTGAACAATTGCGCTATTTTATTCGCGTGTTTGTTTTCCATCAAATCGTTCCAAGCACATTCACTGATATATTAATGTATCCGGATTAGATCCACAGTAGCTTTATTGTTTTATTTAATTGTAAATCGGAATTTGGTGTCGTGGGGCACTATTATTCATATTCTAATGATCAATCGTCTCTGGGGGTTAGTTCTGATAAGTGGGGACAATACTTTAGCTGGCAGAATGTTTACAAAACAAGTCTTTACTGATAGTTTGAGAAGCGAATACATAGATGTATATACTGTAAAGAGAGTGGGTGAATAATAGTAATTCTACCACGGATTAGGTGCAAGGGACGACGCTTAAATCACAGTTAAACTGACTCTGAAATCTATCAATCCTATCGTCCCTAATAAACCAAAGGAGTGCCTATCAATCATTTCTTGCAGAGTGCTCGATCAAGAGGGGTTCACTATTAGGGTGAATATATTTCTCCCTTTTTGGTATCGTTTTAGGATATTAATAAACAGAAAATATTGGCACGTTGCCTCTTTTTGTTTTAGAATAGGACGGATGTTGCAGGTCATATGAAAATAATTATTTGAGTTGTTTTACATTACTTCAGATTATTTTCCATTGACAGAATCGAAGTGAAACTGCAATAATGCATGCGTGACTTTGGAATAAAAGTCAATGGTCGTGCAATGTCAATGTCCAAAGGGCTCACCTGCACGTCCTCCATTCCTGGGTGGTTGATGCCATGCAGGGACAAGCTGTCCCCCATCCCCGAATCCAGTCCATGAGCGGAGTGGATGAGCACGTCTGGCCGCCGCACGCTGGGGTAATCCCGGCGAGGGTCGAGCCCAGTGAGCTGGGGCAGAGCCCGGGGCTGGTGCAGGAGGCTGGCTTCGGCTCCCACGTCCTGCCGCTGCCTCTGCTGCCAGGGATGCTGCTGTGGCTGATGCAGGGCGTTCAGGGAATAGGGATCGTTGACGTGGGAATACGGATCCTGGCTCTGGTGGTAAGGGAGAGGCTGGTAAGGAGGAGGGAAGTAGGGTGGCTGGAAATCCGAGGTTGGGGTGTGTGAGAGCGGTGGAGCCGTGGAGTAGTGTCCCTGAGAGACCGACCCGAGTTGGGACAGCCTCGAACTGTGACTGTTAACTCCATCATGCCGGTCCTGCAAAGCAGAGATAACCCAACTTAATATAACACGTATTATATCAGCATAAAAGTTATATAACACGAGGGCAAAAAGAAAGGCACTATTTTTAAAAAAATCTTATTTTTCGTGTTTGGTAATTCAACAAATGATTGATAGTAGAATGATAACAAAACGAATGTGTTTATAAAGTTGGAATCAATCTTTAATAAAGCATACAAAATCCACCGCGGCAAAAAAAAAAAGCAATAGAGAATAATCCGTTTCAAACTATCTTGCTGTGAGCTTTTTTTTTTGCATGAGAAAAAAATGTAAGCAAAATAACATTATAATTTCCAGATAATAACATTATATTGGGCGTCCCAAATTTAAACATTCATTAAAATAATAGATTTTGCCTTATTAGTGAATGCGCATTTAACACGTGAAAAAGTCCGAGCAACTAAGTCACACGCTTCAATCATTCCGATCTTAAAATGCCAAATAAATATTTTAAAGACAAATCCAATAACGTCAAACGTTACGCAAAGTATTGTTTTTGCTACACGGGAGGAAACTCGATTTCAATATGTGGCTCACAGGAAGACGGGGGGAGGGGGGGGGGGGGGGGGGGGGGGGGGGGCGGCTAAGACGCGTAAAATACCACAATTATATAATTTAAATAATATGAAACAGAGAGACAAAAGTGATACGGAAAAAGAAAAAAAAAGCGAAACAAATACACGCCTGGTCCGCCAAGAATAGTTAAAACAAAATCAAACAAAAACAAAATTCGGCGTGGTTAGATAAGGACGCAGTAAAATGCAAAACAAAACAACAAAAAAAATGAAGCTAGACAATGCAAGTCCATAGGGAAAGCTGCCGAGCTAATAACAAAAAAAGAGCAGGAATGTCAAGTAAACTAAATAACATCTTTAACTAAAATTGCGACTCAAATTGCCAAAAGCTATGCGAGCGCTGCTGAAAGTTTTGCCCACTGACGCGTCCATCTAAACCCGATTAGATAACAATGCAAACAAGAGAGAAAGAGACTGCAATTATGGACTAAATTACAAAGCCATCGGCGTTTGGGGCGAAATGGGATTCTGTCGAGTACTGATCCAACTCACCATGGCTGTGTAAGTGTGGACTAACATCTGTAGTAAGTCTGATCACAGAACATCAACCAGAAGGGAAGAGAGACTGCAGGGAAAGATGCTCGAAGCCTGAAGTATCTCCAACACTATATCCATCAAAATTGGCCCAAAAAAGAGGACAAATGCTGTATATTTTCTCTCTCTCCCCAGCTCCCAACCAGTGCTAGCCTCTCCAAGGCAAGGCGCTGACTGTTCACATCCCCCTCTCTGCCACTCTACACCGCCTCATAATAATTGATATTCATGACTATTAATATTACACGAATACTTAAAGGAAGAATGGTGGCAAATCGAGCGTGAAGCAGCCAGCGAGCGCTCCCCTACTATTGTAAATGACGTTCATTCAGACGAGAATTACTAGATGTAATCAGACAGGGGGGCTGGCGGCACCGCGGCCAGACTTTGGGCAAAACTTCTGCAGAGAAATAGCCAGACAACCGAAAGATTATAGTCCAACAGTCCAGTCAGATAGGCAAAAGGGGCTGTCTTAAGGAAGCAATACCTTTGTCGCCGTTTAAATGTCGAGGTACACAGCGTCCTCTTTAACATAGTCCAGCCTTCCAGAGCGGTTGCACGTAGACGTTACACAAATAATTATATCTAAGCGCCACAAACTCCCCCCCCCCCCCTCTCTGCTGTGTCTTGGTTTTGCTTACATTTCTGTGCATTCATGTACAGCTGCCGAATGCTTATGGAGTTTTACGCGGAATCTTGCTTTTTAACCCTTTCAAACCCGAATTTCGTTCGCAGTTTTCAAGCAGAATACTTCGTTCATGTGGCAGCTAATTCGAGCATTTGATCTTTTTTTATTCGTAGTGATCTTTCACAGCCGAAGGTTGGAGGTTGAATTGGGGAACGCACACACATACACATACATTGGGAGACACACATCACATCTTTGATTATGGTATTTCCACAAAGAAGCTGCGACTACTTACAATTAAATGAGTTAACGTCAAATCCGCGTTGAGAACAATGTACCCGGTGCCATAATCTGCTATTTTTGCTAGATTTCCATCCTTGATAAGATCAAAACTATTTTACCACCCTTCCTCTTGGCAAAATACAGTTGATCTTATCAGAGCTCCACTGAAAAGAACAGCATCTTTCATTTTAAAGACTCTCTCCCTCTCATATCCTGGTGTGGTATCAACCTAATTAAATCCATTTTAGGTGAAAGGGAACGATTTCAGTGAAGAGTATAGGTCTTTATTCTGATCAATTATAAACAGCGTATGATACTCAAACATTTTTTTAGCACAGTACTGCAATACGGAAGTTCAAATGAGTCAATAGTCAAGAGACCTACTTGTGCACGCTTATGAAATACCGTATAATATCCAGTAACCGGCATTTCTAATGAGGAATGAAAGGTGTTGGGTGTTTTGCAAAGTGCTTTTGGAACAATCTACAGTGTAAAGGTCTGTTTTGTTATCGCAAACTACAGTCAGTGATCCAACGCATTGCAAATCCAATCCTCTCGTTCCCAACGTTATCTGGCAAATTAAAAAAAAAACGTTCCCCTTTCATGCCGGCAGCTGTAAAACATTTACAAGGAATTCTGTAAAGATCGTCGAAGTTTACAGAACTGATGCAAGCCAGAGGGGCTGTTTTGATGCTTTGGGGGAATGCGTTCTAGTTGTTCCGGGTTACGCTGGAACCCGTTGGACCGGCTTGTTCAGCCCATTTATTAAAAGGCAATTTATTCTTCTGACATCAACCTCGTCGACTTATCCCTGCAATTTCCACCCGAAAATTATGGCTCCTTTATATATAAAAAAAGTTTGGAAGTTTCAGTGCGCGGAATCGGTATAATCCGTCTGATTGTCTCATTGGGGGCAGATATTGTTCTCGTCAGTGAAGTGTGTACCTAAAGCTATTTTATTCATCAGTGTTAAATGCATGCATGAATCGTTTACTGGTATTTCAACCCATTCAATTTTTTGGGATGCCCACTCAGGGAAGGAAAGAAAACAGGCAGGGGAAGGAAGGGAAGTCGACTGCATTTAATGCAATTAATTTGATAGTACAATCTGGCCAACAAAAGGGCTGTTCGAAGACAAGTTACAGTATGAATCATCCAATCGTTTATTCCATATATTACTGCAAGATTACCGAACTATAGATAACAAATGCTTGTGTAAGTGTGGCACCTTGAATTCACGACGAACCCTCATTTCTGCTATTTACATGCATTTCGGTATCAAATGAATGAACCGATCCATTTCAGCAGCATCGTGCAGAATACATCGGGGAAAAAAAACAGTCGACAATTCCACATTCACTGGGCAATTGACAAAACAAAACCACCGGAAAATATACACCAAGTCAGCGTTCTTTTGTTTTACTTCTATCAAACACGAAGAGCACAGATCCCTCCCTGGCCGAACGCGGGACTCAAACCATGACATTACGCTTAACCTTCAAAATGACGGCAGAAAGAATTGATTAGAAATTGACGGCATTTTGCCTGGAAACGCAAATAAACGATCGGGAAAGTCAGCGGTCGGGTGAAATAGACTTGTTCTGGTTGAAATTCTGCTTCAAATGCTTCGGATTTCGGCAGCTTGCGGTTGATAATTAGCCCGACGAGAGTCTTGAGAGCAGAGGCATGTGTGGCTCTGCAGAGGGCGGCTACCCGCCGGGCTGAGCTCAAGAGCCCGTTAAGCGGCACGTTTGGCACCAATTCATCAGCCCGTTTACTCTCTTCCATAAGCCATTTTCTGGACTCCTTCTCCATTGTGGGGTCGGTCACTTAATTCAGCCCATCGCTGCGGGAACGCACTGAGCCAAAAGCGCGTCCACACGCGCGGTGTGTGCCTCACCGTGTAGTGTGCGCTCTTTATGCAATCTATTGCTTTCTGGCTTCTACCTCACCCTTTCGCACATGGACCGCAAGATCGACGTCGAGAGAACACAATCGCTGAAACACAATCTAGTTTTTTTCTCTTACTTTTCTGCACTCCTTTACAATCGCATAGTTATCCCCCCACCCCCTCTCTCCCTCTCTCTCTCCACTCTCTCTCTCTCTCATTCTTAACACACATTAGCATGCCAGTATGCGAAGGATGTGCTGCAACTTTTTAAACATTAACTGGTCTCCAGGATTACTGGCACTCACAGCCTGACCTCTCGCAATTGCCAGCCTGACATCGTTTCACTTCACCGGCTGCGGGCAACAGGACTCACCACGTACAACCTCCGAAACTCTCTCTAAACATACACTTAATAATTTGGAAGCAATCACATTATCATAAGCCAACCAGAGAGCCTGAACGCAGCGATCGTTTCAAAGTTTATTTCCGCAAAGCTCTGAGTGTGCATAATGCAACCAATTCTGGCTATAATGTAGTCACCTTAACGAAAACTGGTTGAATCGTTCCTATTGTAGGTCTATGAAGCACTGCACTTAGCATATATAACACAGTCGTTTCGCCTTCTTCCTTATTTTACAGCATTGAAAATAAACAACTAGCTCCATGTCGCAGTAGTCAATATAAGATTTCCAATATATATATATATATATCTAAACACATCAATGATATCAAATGGTCAGTAGAGCAAATGCAGTTGTTTTTTATTAATACAACAGTTTATTTGTTAGACGTGCGCGCACACACACACGCACACACATACACAGAATCAACACAGAACTCACAAAATGCTTACAATTTAACATAAGTACGGAAAAAAAGTCCCCGTAGTGCTCACCTCGTAGATGTCCTCGTATTTGACATTTTCTACTAGTTTCCAGAGCATGTTTGCAGTCTGGTCTTTAGGAGATGAGTGCATTCATGTGAAGAGCAGCTGTCTGCTTTCTCTCTCTCCCTCTCTCTATCCCTCTCTCTCTCTCTAATGATCCACTTAATTGGCAAAAAAAGGAACCCAATCCGAGACGAATTCCTTCAGCACTATATACACTGACACGACCAACTCAGCCCAAAACACGCATATTTCTTTACTCAATAGTACAGTCTAAGTTTACCCTTAATGATAAACATCGAGTTAAAATAAAGGTATTTCCTTACAGTTAAAATTCAAGCTTCAATGTTACCGCTGCCTAGTTCGGAAACGAAAGGCTCAGTGAGTGAGTCAGTCAGTCAGTCAGTCTGTCTGTCTGTCTGTCCTGTTCATTAAATAAGTGAACCATTTACGGACGGGTTGTATCCGCACTCCGCGCAATAAGAGGGCACATGTCTGTCCGTCTGTCTCTCCCTCTATCTGTCTACCTATCTCATTGGACGCACATGATCATCGTAAAGCTTTGCAAGCTATAAATGTACAGTATTTAATATTTCACGTTATTTTCTCAGTTTTGATCCAGCTCTTTTTCATTTTGGGAGCCATAGTATCTATCTATCTATCTATCTATCTATCTATCTATCTATCTATCTATCTATCTATCTATCTATCTATCTATCTATCTATCTATCTATCTATCTATCTATCTATCTATCTATCTATCTATCTATCTATCTATCTATCTATCTATCTATCTATTTGTCTTCCTCAGACTGAATAATCTATTTTTTTTTCAAAAGTTTTTAACGCAACTCTTTGCACAAATCACGCAGCTATTCTGAAAGAAACCGAGCCCTTCAAATCAATGCTCTGAACGGTTCTTAGTCGTTATATTTAACAATAAATATATATATATGTTTTAAATCGTGAGTTATTTGAGGTTGCCTCCCCTTTGCCCAGAGTTACGTGTTTAATCTCAGTCAGACCCTGGTTTTATTTATCAAGTGTCGATTTTCATACAATTACATCCTAAGTGAGAATGGATAATCCATGCAACTTTTATCTTGATAATACATCGGTTCATTACTGACAGATAAGCAAATAAATATCCCAGTACGATGCTTAGAGTTTTTGATCTGGGTATGTAACTTTTCAAGGACGAAATGACAATGCAACGGAAATCAATGTTGTCAGTCCGAATGCGTTGCTTTTTCTGGTGACCGACAACAACGCTGGGATCTGTCTTTGGTTAGTATCTGTTCACTGAATCTGCAGGGGATTGGTATTTTTTTTTGGAATACAATATATGGCTACGACCATACAATTGCAAAATAACAGTTCAACTGAGGCAATGCCACAGATTTTTATCGCACTTCTTACATCGTATGATTTCTCCACAGTACTATTTTCTATACTCGACGCGTATAATGCCAATATGGTTGATAGAGTTTTAAATTATTAATTATATGTGTGCTTCATATCCAGCCGTTCTTTGTAATGATTTATATTTGTCACATATGCACACGGATGGGTACATTTCATGTAAATGTTTGGAAAAATATACGGTCATATATGTGCAATATACAGGGAATAACCCCTAAGTAATGAACGAATAATAGGTAGGTGAGTAGATAGATAGATAGATAGATAGATAGATAGATAGATAGATAGATAGATAGATAGATAGATAGATAGATAGATAGATAGATAGATAGATAGATAGATAGATAGATAGATAGATAGATAGATAGATAGATAGATAGATAGATAGATAGATAGATAGATAGCAGAACGAATTCTGTGAACCCTTACAGCGTTTAATGAAGTGAAAATGACACATGAGATCAGTATAGTGAAGCATTTTCAAATCAACTGTATGTAAAATAGAAAACGAAGTAAAGGTAGGACAAAAAAAAGTTTCATCAGCTATTGAAAATAATTTCTAGTTGCCACATTTAATTCACAAATTGAAAACCGCAATGAACGCCAATTTGATTGATTGGTTATTGCTGGAATACAATCGTTTAATGATGAAATGATTTTCCCGGGGATGGGAGTGTATTTAAAGCCTGGGGTTATGCCCGGATCCAACGCTCCATCAATAAACCCAACAGCTGCTTGCATCAGATGATCTTTTCGCACAAAAGAGTGTTCAAATTGAATTGCTTGGTATTATGAAAGCAACCTTTCTATTGCATGCGTCAACAATGTCAATAACAGGTACGTTCATTTGTAATGGAAAAATATTTAATATATCATAATCCAGAATGCAATAATATATAACCGTCACGTTTCGATGGCACCAACTCCGAATTAATCCTCAAATCATTGTAACTTTTAGGCACGCGAGCATCAGGTATGGCCTTACGGTTGCTCCATATCAATAAGTTAGTAAATATGCTGGTTTTAATGTTTGCTCTCTAAATAGCATTAAAACGTGGACATGTTTAACGTACACGCGGCAGCTTGCGAACACGATGATGTTCGTTGTTTATGTGGGCGCGCACTGCAATCCATGGCATCGTTAAACGACACAGGTCGGAGGTCCATTTTTAATCATATTTGCTTTTTTTAAAAAAAAAATGTGGCATTTGTCTTTAATCTGAGAAATTCCGCGAAGAATCTTTTCCAAGTTCTCGTGTCTTGCACTGCGCGCCCCTCCTTCAGTGTTTTACTTTTAGAGGTTTCTTCGCAGCTTTGGTGTCAGGAAACAATAACAACCTGGGCGTTGTTGACAATACACAAATCAACCTTTGCCAACTCGAATGCATCCAATATTGTTTAAGAAAAGCATAGCTTTAAGACCAACCTTTGGATCAGAGTTTGGAATAAATTGGCGCGATAGGCAATCGGCATTAATGAAGCCATTCTGCCCTCTGTCGGAAATTAGGTGTAAAATAAAAAATAAAAAAACTCCCACCAACGACTTGTCTGGTCATTTTCATGGAGCTTCGTGAGTCTGAAGATTTTTTTTTCCTTTCACACCTTAGGTGGGGGACAACGTATAATCACCTCGTAAATATCGACTTGCATTTTATTTCCATGTTGTTGTTTTTCTTTGGTGAATATATTTCAAGTCATGTGGTGTGGACCGTTTGGTCGTTAAAACACTCCATGCGACCTGGTGACAAAATGCAAACTGATTTCAGTGTAAAATGCTTCCAATTGACATTATTTAAACCAAAATAAAATACTTCTACTGGCAATAATGACAAGAGGCTGTTAACTGGTTAGTGCGGACAGAAAAGTTGGACAATGATCAATAATTTATACAAAACATGGAGATACCAAAAATGTATCACAGTAAACATGCGCACCTTTGAATACTATTATATCTCATTATCTAACAATTTTTACTTCCATTGGAGAGAATAGCAAATCGAGTAGATACCCTATTATTGAGCATTTTAGATTTGTCGGCAAATATTATTTTCTCTCTCACAATTACTTTTTCAACTATTATTAAACATTTCACCTTTACGAATTTATTCAAATGTGCGTTTTCCATGCGTATAACTGTTATACCAATTCAATACAGTAGTTACATAATTCTTAATGCCTGCAATCAAACATAATTCGACAATCTGTGTAACCGCCCCAAGAATTTATTAGGGTGCACTAAGTATCACTGTCTACCATGCTTTGGGAAAGCGATATTATAACACATACAAACAACATTAACAATAATTGTGCACGTTTCGATGGTTTCTGGACTGCTGTTGAAACAGTTTATGGGCTAAACCTATATTTTCGCTCCATCAGGATATGTACTGTTTGTCAGTGCATAAAGTAAATTGAATACATTCTTTCTGAACTATGCATAAATAATTGCTACAATTTCATTGCTTTCTTATTCTGTGCTGAAATTCACTGACTCTGCTCAGTGTAAAGCTGTCATCTGTGGAGTTTCATTTTCACAGTTGTGAAATCTCAAATCGCCCAATCTTTGGAACTTTGCTTGGGAAATTGTGCGCAGATTTGCAATCATTTCAGATATACTTATCAACGTTGACTTTACACATCTAAACAGCGTGGTTTTGCATGCAGTAGCCAACAACTTTTCCACAGAGCTGAAAAAGCGCAGTAGGTGAAATCCACACAGTGATTCACAACAGCGCCATCGCCTGGAAATTAAACAAAAGCACAAAGCGGATCATTTGCTTGTGCTCCATCTATTATTTCTATTCGTCTACAGAGCAAATAATCATGTCTGCACGTATGGAAACGTTTGATTGAAATAGTTTTGATATGATTCATTAAATAACGAATCAATTTGTCATCACCTTCCATTTAAACTAAATGCCATCTGTCTGAAGTGAACGTTAGCACTACATTATTGCTTCTGATTGTCAGGATTTGATTACAAGGATATACAAATTATATTCAGTTGAGGCATTAATTTACAACAGGCATTCACAAAGATGGGAAAGCAAATATAAAATATTTTTATTGCAATTAACTATTTCCTGTACACTGAAAATACAGCTACTGCAGCTAACTGTTCTCTTGCAGTGAATGAAGAGGTGTTGGTCTGCCCCCAACCGAATACATCAAGTGTGAAAGACACACCTGTTAAATAAATATCACATCCAATAGGCGACTTGCATCACAGGTGTTATGTCATGAGCATAAGTATAAAATCTTAATGTAAATACCTAGTTTATAAGAAGTAAATATTAAACAAGAATAATAACGCTATAACTTTATACAGCATCCTTCACTTAGCACCTCCCATCTCAGAGTTCTTTACAAAATCAGTGTTGGACGCCCTCCCAAGGGAGGGATGGAGGAAGGGGGAATTGGTCATAGGTGCGTTCTAAGATTACAAAATTTGAGGCAGGAATGGACAGAAAGAATGGACAGAGTGATTCAGGGAGCGATTTCTAGATGTTAGGGGCCTAAGAACTGAAGAGGGCAGGGGACACACAGTAAGCCTGAGTTAGCCGAGGGAAGGAGGTGTTTGGAGGAGTAGGGTAGGAGAAGATTTATGTAGGATTTCCTTCCAAAGATTTAGTGGCTGAATGTCTGGTGTTGCATAATAATAATCTTTACCTTTGGTAAAGCACT